GTGAACTATGTGCCATCTACTTGTGCTCCAAATTGTCATCGTTTTTTTGGAGATTCATGGATTTTGTTGCAAAAAGGTCGTGCAGCGACATCGCCAAACACTCCAGGGCATTCATTCAGAAGAACTTCAACTGTACGCAGCCTCTTGGCTCAATGTCTGCCACTTGTTTTCAACCTTTAGAAGTTAAGTACAGTATGTACAGTGCACGTCTGTTGCTAAGGGTGGGGGGCCGACATCTTTACAAAGAAGGTCAAATGGCTTCACAAGAAGGCTCCGCTACTTTGAAGGGTGTTGAAAACTCAGTTGTCAACCACTTATGTTGAACCCAACATTATCTTGTTGCAGGTGGCCCTTTATACAGCCGGCTTTCCTTGCACGCCTTACTCGACCCTCCACTGGAAGAGCGCCGGCTTGCAAGACATAAATGCACAACAATTATGGAAAGTCATCAGCAACATCAAGGTTACGGAACCCGCAGACGCTTGGCTCATCTCTGCTTCTTTGTTTTTTCTAGTTTGGCCAGCCACGTGCCAATGATCTTCATTGGACAGCCTGCAACTTGATGCAGTGATACTCGAAAACGTCATTGGCTTCAAGAAGCACCTGCAAATCTTAAACGCAGTCCTTGACCGGAATTGTCCAGAGTCCCATGTCTGCAACATAGTGTAAATATTGTCTTGCAGTCTGATGTTGATTGAACTTTGCAGGTAAAATCACAAAACATTGTTTTTTCACTCTGAGTTACTCTCATGTCTGGGTGGTGTTGAACCCGTGTCTTTGCAGCACTCAGCAGAAACAATATCAAACAATCCAAGAACTCCGGGATCACCAAACTCACACCCAGGAAAAGCTTTGGAGCTCCACTCAGTCGCCGCCGCTTGTACCTGGTCATGGTGCGCACGGAGCTGATGAGTGATGAAGCCTACAATGGACCTTTCTATGAGTTTGTGCAGAAGTTCTTCAGGTCCATGCACACCCGATCCACCGTTAAATGGACTCTTGACGGCAAGTTGTACCAACAAGGCTACACAAAAGAGTGGCCTTCCTAGTTCTTTCCCGAGGACAGACCTTTTGCTTCCAGAAGACCACCCGTCCGTGAAGAGGAACAAAGCAAATCGTAAACGAAGACAAATGTCCCAAGCCGAGAGGTGTCTTGGCAAAAGCTGCATGTCCGTTTAGAGTTTAGAGTTTGTTTGAACTTTTGTTTGAACCTCAGGCCACTCAACAGGGGTGCAAAGTGGATTCTTCGCCACCGACTTTGGGCCAAGGAGCATAAGGCTCCTTGGAACATGTTTTGAAGTGTTACCTTTGCCCTCATGTTCTTGGCAAGGTTGGAATCCGCAGCTCCCGTGGCGCCTTCAGAAAGAAGTTTCCGAAGGCGGCTAACTATGTGACCACCTACCGCGAGATGGAGGCTCTGTCTTGAATTGTGGACTGAATTGAAGCAGAATAAATATGCATCAGAAACCACCTTGCCCTGGAAAGGCGTTGGATTTGATCACAGCCATGAACGAGGGGAAGTTCGTGGCCAACACTTCTCAAAACCTTCATTGCATGCCAGTGAATCCAGAACATGCTCCTTTGATGACGCTGACGTCAGCCACTTATAGTTTTTTCCGAACCAGTGCCACTCCGAGTTTGGTAGGAACGTGTGACCTTTACATATTGTCTGTCTGCCAAGGCCTAGTGGAGCCTTTATGTGCACGGGCCGGCAACGCTATTTGGTGGGCGAGGAAATCATGATGCTTATGGGCATGCCATTGCATCGCTATTCCACAAGTGGGCTGAGCAATAATGAGACCGATCTTAAGCCATGCTCTTTGCAAGTATGTTAGTCGTATGTTGAAACCTATCCCACTTGGCCATGTGAGATATTCTCATTGTCTTGGGACTTGTCTTGGGGCTATAAGACAAACAGAATTGTGAGAATCCAAGGAATTGCATTCGCTGGGTGGCAACGCCATGCATGTCCGGACTATCACAGCAGCCATCTGCTGCGCCCTGCGTTGCCTGGACCCTGAGAGGCTTGAGGAATATTTGAGATGAGGTGAAGGCAACTTTTGCAGAACCTCGCTAATTCGGTTTAGCGCCAATTCGGATTGAGTGGTTTTGCTACTCTCATGAACTGGAAAACAATCGAACACCTTTGAGCCCTTTTTGAAAGCTTCGGGGACACCTGGAATCTTTGCGCTTGCTTCAGCATTCCATTGCACAGTTTCCTGCGGTTTCCTGTGAGTTCTTTCTATGTCTCAAGAACAAGTTTCCAGTGCTGTTTTTTACATTCAGATTCAAAAACAAACAACATCAGAACAGAGTATGACCACTAAGACACTGCCACTGCTCGGTTCCGCATTCCTCCCATCGATGCCTGTGCTCCAAAGATGGGATTCCAACAGCTCCTGCACAGAGCCAGCGGTTGGTCTGCAAAGGTATGATGCCGATGATAGCTCTGAGCCCTTGGTCTTCAACAGAAACAAGCATGTAGAGCTACCTTGTAAAATGCTAAACCACATGCCATTGTTGGCGATTTCACCATTCTGAGGTCTGGATCTTCGGGGACATCGTTAAGTGATGATGAGAGCAGTGATGATGAGGAGGCCCCTGCCAAGGTTGGAGTCATATCCTTAGACACTAGCATGCTGGAATCCTTGCATGCCCTGGGGTCCTTGGAAGAGAAGAATGTGTCTTCTTTTGGGGCGCAGGGCCAATCACACGAAAGAATGCGGAGGGCCTTGCAAGGACACAAGTGTGAGTGTGGGTGTACCATGCCCTTCAACGACCTAGCCAAAGTGTGCCGCTGCTTTTGGGCATTGCCCAAACGAGCCCAAGATGGGGTGCTCTGGTCTATGCAAACGTCTACCACAGCAAGAAGAAATGAGTGGGTTCTCCAAGGACCGTTCTTTCACAAGAGATGCGTCTCCTGCTTGGTTGCCATTGAATCGCCTTGACCATCAGGACATCGCCTATGCAGGTCAGCATGGAGCCGGTTCTTGGGGGTCGGAGAGGAACGGTTGCAGCGGTGCAAACGGGCGCACCATGGCCTAGATGAGAGAACCCTTGGTGGACGCTCAACTGAAATAAGTCAAAGATGAAAAGCATCGCAAAAACAGAACTGGTGGGAGCCAGCCTCCGGGCATTCTGAGGATGCGCGCCACGTCCAGCTCTGAAGTACGCCTCCGTGAAGGCATTCATGATGCATTTATACTGGAGCGCTGGGGAGTCCATGACAACGTCGCAACTCGGCTTTAACAAGCACACAGGTTTGGTTTGAGTGTGGCCAGGTTGAAAGCTTATCAATCTTATCAACATGAGTTGAGGATAGCGCCCAAGCAGTTAATGGAAGACAGCGATGAGCAAATTAGGGAGGATCTTCTTCAAAAATTGGTGGACGCCCGCCTCATGGGCCCAACATCTCAAATAGTGCTCAATGCCGAGCCTGCGAAGCTTCCGATGCGGGAAGTTGGTCATGGATCCTATGCAACTTTGTACCTCCTTTACCTGGCATATAGTAGAACAATGTCAGAGTCACCGGCCTCGAGAGCATTATTCTACGAAGCAGCCGGTGAATGGAGAACATGCCTCAAGTTTACCAAAAAAACGGTACATCAAGTATGCTACACGTGCTCAAAAATCAAATCTAGAATCAAGAACGCTGCTGAATCTTGAACGCATAAAAGGAACCCAATTTGATGATATCTACAAGATGTGTACGATGGAAACCTAGCAGAAAGTGAACGCCCCTACTAACATTACAACATATTACAACTAAGGACTTCCAAGAGCACATCCGCTGGTGTGACCAGCTGTTGGGACACTTCTCCCAGCAGTGGAAAGACCGCCAGACGTACTGGATGGCCAGAGATCGAAGTAGAAAATGCTCCGACATGGTCACCATCATCATCGACTCTTACGACAAAGCAAAAAATGTGTTTACCCAAGTGGCCATGTGGTGGTCGAACTCCAAAGTCCCAAGTCTACGAAATCGTGAAGCGCACCATGCCTTTCATTGGACCACGACCTTCAAAATACTTGAAACTGCAAACTGAACTTTGACTTATGCTTGGGATTGGCCAAGGTACATCGCTCACTCTTACGGCATGCTTGGTTCACGGATACGGTGCATATTTTTATATCGGCGATGAGGGGCTACCAACTGGAGCGAATTGGTGCTTGGAACTTGTGACTTGTCTTGAAACTCTGACTGGTCCAGATTGAAGAACGGCCCTCTATGACTGATTTGATTCTGAGGTAATGAAGGCATTGGACAATGCATATGTGCTTGCCCGCAAGAGGGGGGTGCAATCTCCCCAAAGAGTCTGTTTCTAAGTCTTCTGATGCCTCTTAAACGGTTTGCGCTTTCTGATTTTGACAACAATAAAACCATTGCCAAGGATTTGGCTGCAGGGAGATAATACTGTCAAAGAACTTCGCCAATCTCTCACTGGCAAATTGGCATCGCTGATGACTTCTGCAGGGTTCGCCGACGTCATGCCCCACCAGCATTTGCTGGTGGGACATACTCATGAGGACGTAGGTGGGAAGATCCTTGATGGTTTTTTGAATCACGTGCCGACTATGTCCCCGTTTGCTTCTCATCAGCCCCGGCCTCCAGATGGTGCTCTGGCGTTGGTGGGGAGTGCCCTGGCTTCGGAGCCGAATCTGCAAACGCCACAGGACATTGTCAGGACTGGTTCTCTCAGCCATAATGAGTTCATTGACATTACTTTTGCATGGATAGTACCTGGATGACTCTAGATTGGAGCATTACCCCAGGACTTTGGAAAAGAAACTCAGCAAGGTCTTCAACAAGCATGGCATGGAGTTCAAGTGTGAACACATAGACACAGTCTCTTGCTTCTGATTCTGTGACATGAAGTGAAGTGTGTCCTGAACAGCCTACGATATTGATCCTCTAAGGTTCGCAATTGGCACGAGCTAATGCCACATGTGGCCAGTCTGAAGAATGCCTACAGGGACCGGCCACCTCCTCGTCGCAGACGTGAAGATGATGATGAGGAAGAGCCTGCTGAGATGAAGGTGCCACAATCATTCACTTTCATGAGACGAGAAGGCCAGTTCATTGCATGATATTGCATGTTTTATATTGATGTTCCGTAGTGTTCCAAAAAAAGATGGCGTGACATGCCCGCATGAGCCACGCCAGTTCTTCCGGGAGAAGGTGATGGAATGGTTATTGAGGAGACAGTACCCCGAAGACTCCGCCAAGCTGGCCGATCTAGAGATGTGGTGGCTTTGGTGAAGCAATACATGAGCGATGACCGACTGTCCCAACCACCACTGATTGTTTGGCCGCAATCCGCTTTGGGAATCACGGAGGCGTTTTGGCAGACCGTGAACTCAACCAATTTGGTGGTCCAACAAAGTTTGGAGGAGGAACGGCAATCTGATTTAGAGAAGTTGGCTAAAGCCATGTCCCAAGATTTTCCTCATCTTGGCCGTGCTGTCACATACTATCATGGCCTTTGGAATCCAAACAGGCGCAGGAAACCATTTCAGCGCCTGCAGTTCATTGCAGATGGGCCACCCCCTCCGAATGGGGTCGCTCATGTACAGCTGGGGGGAGCGCCCGTTGCCGCCACGACCTCATGCCCTTCAGGTGGTATACCACCACGGCCCGAGGCGGTGAAGTGTCTTGGGAGCGATGCAGGGTTGTTGCATTGCAGGAAAAGACATGAAGAAACGCACTATGAAGTTTCATTGCCACCCTGACCTTTGATTGCAACCTTTTGAACACCTGTGAAACACTGAATCAGCATGATATCTTGCAGAAGACCTGGCTGAGCTAGATAGCTTTGCCCCCCGTCCGCAATGGTTGATTTTGCTTGGGATGACCCTATCGTGGAAAAGGTCTGTTTGCAGTTTGATGCAGTCATTCACTCAGTGGAAGAAAGTAACACACCCATCATGCGCAAAGAATGCAAAACAAACTGCTTCGTTTGGATGACACTTGGTCAGCTACTGCAAGGTGATCGAGAAGTCTAATTTTGGTGACTTCATTTCCGAGACCTTCCCGACAACCAGGGACATGACCCAGGCCTGTCCAAAGCAATGCAAATGCACCAAACCCACGACGTCACGATGCCAACCAGAGCCTAGGCTGTGAGATACTATGTGGAAAGAATGGGCTCCGAGGTGGGAAGGCCGATTCTGTCACTGGCACCGACGACCAGTATGTCCGAGTTCTGGTTGGAGCTCATCAGCTTTGACCATACCAAGCACTCGAAGAATGGATGTGGGGGGGCTGTTTAAATGATGCAGTTTGTTACATTGGCACATGTTGAACTAATGTCTTTGGTTTATGGAGTTTACAATGTATTTGGCCCCTGCAGTCTTCCCAACAAATGCTCAGTTTGCTTCGCACTTCAAAGAGTTCATCCTTGGATATCGCCCCACTGAATCAGTGGAATGCAAGTTCCCACACTGTGGCGCCACAAGGGTCATTGAAGAGGGTTCAGTGGGGGGTGGTCGACGGCTTCCTGAAGATCCTGACGATGATTGGGGTCTGTGCCATCCTGCATTTTTTGGTGTCTTGGCAGACTCGGCACTGAATCTGCGTGTTAAATGTCGTAAGAGTAAGCATGAAAAGTCGCAGTAGGTTGCTTCCAACCCAGGAAGTGACGCTCAGTGGACTGGAGGGCTCACCACTGTATGCAACTTTGGGGACCTATCAATGGGTGAGATGCTCATACACCCATTTTTTCTTCGCCAACCATGTTCTGCCTCCATGCTTTGAGCGACTAGGCACCAACTTGAAAAATAAGGCTGTTCACTTCACTCACTCCTGATTCCTGATGTGAACTGAGAACTGGGCCATGTGACCTCGGAGAAGCAATCACCAAGCGCCATCGACTTCCTAGCAACAATGCAGGAGGCTGTGCAGCTGGAGAAGCGGTTGGCTTCCAAGACTTCATCTAGCAAGGCGTTGAAGGACCTGTTGAATTCTTCGATTGCCCAGTACAACAAGTTGGTGACGAAGAAGGAGCATCGCATTGATGGGCGGAAAAAAATCATGGTGTATAACCTGCCGCTTGGCCCAATTTTTGGGCATGATCTCATTGAAACTGGTAAGCGCACCCTGTTTGTTGTGATTGGGCTGAGGCTGAGAGCTCCCACTGGCTTTCATCAGTTGCTACATCGACATTACGATGACTACCCCCATCACCTGTCAGGCCACTTGGCTCTGAATAGCACTTTCTTGCTCCAGACTTTGTCAACAAATATTATTCTGCGGAGCGGTTGTGCCAGGTATGCCCCTGGACGTCTTGGGCAACGATTTTTTGGGTTCCAGGGTCTTCGGCCAGGAAGGATCTCCCAAAGTTCAAGGCTGACATCTTTCAAGAGATGTTCACATGCACCGAAGAGACATGCATGCTGTATGGGCTTCGTGCGACCCAGGACCTAAAGTGACTCCACCTCAGACCTTTTGTATAAGTTAAGTGGCACAGTCAGTGCACGCACTTTCCCATGCTAGGATTTCACCAAACGCGCTTCAAAAGATGCCTCAACAAAGGCCAAGGTTGGGGGGTGGCCCAAAAGTATGTGTCCCAATTCAACGCTTGCAAGTGTCACAACCCTGTAGAAAGCAGCTCAGCTGGATGATGATGGCCACACACTACTCCACGACGTATGCTGCGCATGGGTATGGTTGAAGCCCAAGCTTGAAAATGCCTTCCCCAACGAAATCATCGACAAGCACACCGACCTCTTCCACAAAGGGTTTCTTGGCATTCTTTCAGCGTGCCTCCAGGGCAGTTGGCTGGCGCCAAATTGAACTTTCAAATTGTGATTGGTTGGCTGGCGCCGAATTGAACTTTCAAATTGTGATTGGTTGGCTGGCGCCGAATGGAACATTCAAATTGTGATTTGTTTCGCAGAAACCCCGTCACAATCTAGCCTTCGGGTTCGGCTGGCGCCAAAATATTTAAAAAAAAATAAAAAATAAAAAAATAAAGAAAACCAATCACAATCCCTGCAAGATCCATAGATTGGTAACTTGATGGGATGCGGGAGAAACCAATCACAAATTTCAATAGCCCTTATTAGAGCAAATCATTTTGCAAGTATTGTTTTGTTGGTTTCCTTGTGATTGGGTCTTTGTATCACCAATATGATTTGTGATCTGGTCCTCCGACACTAGATCACAATCTAGATATGGATTTCCAATGTCAGAGTGTGATTGGTTCTTTAGATTTTTTATTTTTTCCATTTTTTTTAAATAGAATATTTTCAATTGTATATCCATTGCAAGCAAGGCTTCTGGACAACGATCTGGGTGCAGTGGTCAAAGCTGGGGAGTCTTTTGACTGGCAAAGGATCAACTTCGTGCTCGAGGACAGATACTTGGCACCCTTTCCACAGCACACGGCTTGACATCTTTTTTTGCCTCCCTCGATTTGCAACATGTTCACCGCAAACATGTATATACAATATGTTTACATTCCCAATGAGCCCATAGCACCAGGTTCTTTTTGTTGGAGGTGTTCATATCAATCCACCCTGCATCCCATCTGCATCCCCGTCAGATCCGCGGAACCACGGTTGAAGACTTTGTCAGCCAATCCCAAAGCCTGACACGGAATGCTCTGAATTCTTCACTTCTTGCGGCCTTTCGGGCATGGAAGCAACAACTGGAAGCAGATCAAATGACTTTCGAGTCTGACAAGATCTCGACACTAGACCTGTTTGTGAAATTTCATGAAATTTCATAGCAGTGGCAGTGACTTACAAGAAAACCCTTGTTTAAATCGCCTTCTTATAGATCGCCTTCTTCTATCTTCTGGCTTCTTTTTCCACCGTTGGCCTGTTGCATCCGAGGACGGAGAGAGAATCAGCAAAAAAAGCGGACCCAATTGGTCAAGAAATTGGAGGACTCATGCAAATATGGTTCCCATTCTCAGTGCACATCCGCTGAAACAAACTCTCCAATATGTGAAGTGGTACTTGTTTGGTTGTTCATCTATGCTCACCTCATACGGATCTCAATGTTTGGTAGGGAGAAATAATCATTCACATTGTTCAGGATTGCCATACAAAGGCATGGGCTATGGTAATGGAATACCTCGAAAGCAACCTCAAGGTGTTCACTGCGAAGTCGGATTGCGCTGACAGCACAGTCATGCCAGCCGTATTCACATGGATTGCAGAATCATTGAACGAGATTGCCGAGGTCAAGTCGCATGAAGATCATGCAGTTTGCGCGTGGTTGTGCCTGCCCACTTGCGGAATCCTCTCCGCACAGAAGTCTGATTTCTTTGTCACGTTTATATCCAATTTCCTTGCGGCTCATCGCCGGAATGGTTTGGTCTTGCTGGTCCATCCAAATCGGGCGGCCCAGCTGAGTGGTGGGAGGACTGGTCTATGATGGTCTATGGAAAAGATTGGCAATGGTAGGACATGTTGGTTTTTTACCTTGGTTCGGATTCAACCACTAGTGTTCTTTTGGAGGACCAAGACGGAAAAGGTGGAAAAATCTGAGGGGGATGTAAAGATGGAGAGCAAAGAAGAGGACTCCAGCATGGACAGCGGTGCGGACGAGGATGAGGAGGGCGATGGCGAGATCAAAGAAGATGCTGAAGTCCGCGATGTGAGGTACAATTTGGAGTTGCTTCGACTAAGAATTGAATCTAAAACATGTTTTAGCTTTTTTTTGTATTTGAATCAGTTCGTTCAAACTCGTTCAAGAACACATGGACAGCAGGTAGGTTGTGAAAAAACTATTCTGGCTCGTTCTAAGGAAGCTGCTCACACAGAAGGACCGCAACCTTTCTGTCAGGAACATCAACTGGATCTTCAACCCTGCAACTTGGCATAGGTTTTGGAGTTTTGCCAACATACCAACTGCGCGTTGACTCACACTGACAAATACCACGTTGATTTCACATTCATACCAAGACTGGTCTATGATGGTCTATCGGGTATTTTGATGTCAAAATCAAATCAAAAGGTTTCATGGGCTGGTTAGGGAACCCCTTCAAGTCAGTCTTATTCAATCGTTTGTCAACTGCACCTGATCCGTCAGGGCTCCGTGTACGGGAAAAGAGATGGCTATTTGGCTGGGCTGGCAGTGACCAGCAGCACAAAGAACAACATCTTCAAGAACACCAAGGGCTGGAAATCGGGCGCCATCCATGGAGTGGAGATGCTTCCGCGGGGCTCGATGCAAAAGCCTCCTGAAGTGTCTTGCAATGCAATATGACCCACTTGGTGGCATGACTTTGCTGATCTCGAATCAAGTTTCCTCATCTGCGCCTTGTCACTCTGTTTCTCAAGGCTCCAAAATCGGCCAAGCCGCATCTAGGGCGGGCCATGACTGATGTCCAGGAGCTGAAGCAAGTGCCATGTCTTGAATAATGTCACATGTTTCAATCATCAAGAGTACCATCAAGCACTCAGTTGGTGCCAAGTGAAGTCCATGTGAAAAATGTTGTCAATCCAATGTCGTTGTGCAAGGTTGCAGGTGGCACATCGATCATCCACACTTCTTTGGAAAGCTTCCTGCCCAAAACGGTGGCCACGGCGGTGTTGATTGATTGTCATGCATACGATGCTTGGCCAGGCTTGGCAACATTGGAGGCCAGCAAGGGTGATCCCAAGGTTCTGTGAGTTTGAGGGCGCCATAGGATGCGTCGGACTTTCTGAAGTAAGAACCCTTTTTTCTGAATACTAACCGTAGATTGTCCAACGTAAGGGCGCAGGATGCGTCCCTTTGACTTGGTCAGGCAGCATCACAAGGGACGCGGATGATCTGCGGCACAATCTGCTTGGATATTGGAAGCGAGGCCATTACAAAGAAGCTTGCATCTCGCATCTACGAGGATGCTCGCAGCGGTGCGCTGGAGCTGCCTAATTTTCCGCAGTTTGCCCCTCTGGTGGCAGCAATGAAGGATGATGTCAAAGCAACCTCCCACCGTGAGTATCATGTGTGTGTGCAGCGCCAAAGTGCCCTGGCCATCCTGGAAAGCTACGCCTCGAAGTTTATGGATTCATCCGTGACAAAGGATGAAGCTGTCGCTGCAATTGAAGCCCACAATGAAAAGTACAACCCCGATGGTGAGTTTTGGGTGGAGACCGCCAGGACTGGATCAGGGGTTTTGTAAGAGGTACAGCACTGCCAAGAGTATCAAACTAATGGTACCCCCCAAAAATCTAACATCGTTCATGGCCACACCACTCGCCACATCACTCCCAGCCCCCCACCTTCTCGAGGAGCACTGCTGCCGCCGAGAGTGAAGCTGATCGGCCTTCCAAGAAGATCCGGATTGATACAACAAACCAGTACACTGAGAAGGATATTGCCACCTTGAAGAACCCGTGACTTTGCAATGTATTTAGCCGTTTAGTGGTTCTTTCTAACCAATTTGTTACTGTGTACCCTACCTCAAATCACGTAGGATATCAGGGCAAGGAATGTGTTCCTACCATGGTCCGAGGCAGAGTTTCCAGGTGAACAATGCTGTGGAGCTATTCACCAATGAGGATGGCGATGTGGTCTATCTGGTGGCAAAGGGGAAAGTAAACTTCAGCGCGGACCGTGAAATGTGTCTTGGTTATTGATTGAATCAATCTGCAACATTTCACCCTTGACCAATTACAATCTCCTTCGCTCTAGCCCTTCCAGCCAGAAAACGCCAACATCGATCTCCATACTCCTGCTCAGGTTTAGTTTTGGATCCGGAGATTGGAGGGATGGAAGTGAGCCTTGAATCAAATTCACATACTATGAGCCACGAGCCACAAAGTTATCTTTTTTGATGTCCTCAGATGTCCTCTGTGTTTCCTTTGCGTTCCTTTGGATCCAATGGGACATCACAAAAAGGAGGCGAAAGAAGTCATGGAAGATGCGGGGGGGCAGATGGTATTCCTTTGCATTGACCAAAGCCACGCCCATCTTGCTCGAGAAGAAAGACTTGGGGGACCATTTGAAGGAGCTGCCATGCGCTGACAATGTTGTCCCCCCTGTCATCCGTTTGGGCGCAATTGGAAGATGCTGGAGAGGCATGGTGTCAGTCTCCTAACACGTTTGCATCCACACCGTCCACCCTTCACAAAGAAATACAACTAACGAACTGGCGCAAATCTCTGAGAAGGAAAACAAGGTCAGTGAAAAAAACAAACGGATTTTGTGGGAGCAGAACCCCGCACGTTTTGGCCCTTGCAACTTCCCGTGCAGGTCAAAGCAACGATCTCATTCTACACCATCAGCATGGGCGACCTTGACAACCTCGCCTCGACCAAGCCATTGGTGTTCCTCTTGGATGACCTTCCAAGTGATGATGCTGAAAAAAAGAAAAAGAAGAAGAAAAAAGAGAAAAAGCTATCAGTGAACTACAAGAACTTTGGCGCACGTGTGAACGCCAACACTATGAAGCAATCGACTGCAATGACAGTGGGCTGGAGGTGCAGGCCGGTGGGGTTGAAACAAACCTTTACACCTTTAGGTTTGGAGTCAAGAATGTCCAGAATCCTTCAGACTACACTCGGCTAACCATTCGATGATTTTTTTTGAACCCTCCTGGATTGGCCAGGATGGAAACCGCTGCTGGCTCTTCGGTTTTGACGCCTATTCGGCCAATAGCGTGCCTCACAGGCAGCCTTGAGATGAAACAGGAAGGGATTGTGAAACTTGCTTGAGAAGCTTTTTACTACCAGGTTGGGTGCATGATGGTGCATGAGTCAGATCTAAAGAACACTAAGACTAGACTATACACAAACGAACCTGGTCACGATGCTGCATAGGGTTCTACAAAGCATAGGGCAACAAACCTCTTCCGTGTTTAAAGATTGATCCTAGCGCCTCGGCATTCAACCACTGTTGGCAGTATGCTTCCAAACAGGTTGGGTAGTTTTGCTGATGAGCTGATGGTGGGTTTCACCGCCGCCACGTGCCACAAACCAGTCCCATCTTGAAGTCAAGTCTTGGTGTTGATCTTGTTGTACTGAACATTGAGGTTTAGTTGTTACTGTTGCTTCACCTCCTTCCCTGCTCGGCGCGGTGTGCACGCCTCGGCCTTTAGGGAGTCAATGAAGGACAATGGTCCTGACAAAGCGGACCAGCCAAGGTAAGAGATGTAGAAATCAAGAGTCAGTGAGTTGGATGATGTTGATCCAATGTCCAAGGTTGCAGTATCATGCAGTGCCAGGTTCGCACCTGGAATGTCATACGTTTGCGGTGTCACATGTTTCAGTTCATTATCACTACAGGCTCAAGGGTGGGAAAGCTTCTATTTGCACTGGGGCTGTTGAAGTTGCTACAATGCCCAAACATAACAGGGGTCGGGACGGTAGCAGCGACGATGACGTGCAAATCATTGAGAAGACCTTCAAGCCACCTGTGCCTGTGCTCAATCAGTAACTAGTTATCAAACGTCGTATCAAAGCATGTTTTAGCTGCATGGTGTCGTATGTCCATACCTGTGCCTTTGCTAAACCAACGTTTAACTAGTTGTCAACGTGTTTGTTAGCTGCATGGTGATGTATGTCCATAAGCAACAATCCCACCATTGACCCTGGCTCCAAGGATTTTGATTTGGCGGCAGTGATGGGAACGGGATCTTCCTCAACTCGGCCCTCAGCTCTTCGCCCCTCCCGTCCTTCTGCTGCATCAGCAAAACAATCGGTGTCTCCAGCAGCCTCTCCAGGCCTGCGCATAGAAACGCAAGAGTTTCAATTTGTTTCCAACCGTTTTGATTTGGTACAAAAAAATATTGTCGATGGGTTGGTTTCAGGTGACCATGACTTGAAGTACAAGAAGCCTGCAAGAGTCGGCTCGTCGGAAGAAAGCTCACCGAGCACTGAGAAGAAGAACACTGACACCCCCCAGAATGAGAAGACGGTCGTCAACACTGGGAATGATGGAGCTGTTATGAAAAAAACCAAGTGGGCGTTCCAAGGAGACCAAGGAAAAGAAACCAAAGAAACCAAAGAAGACCGATGAGAACGATGAGGATGAGGACCCATCAGATCCCCATCACAGGCCTCTTGGATCGGATGGTCGTGATGATGATGATGATTATGAAGAAGGTCCCGGTGATCTTTCGGGGCTTGAAGACTTGCTTGCATACAAAGATGCAAAACTTGGTGGGGCCCACAAAAAGCCAGCTGCCAAAGGTGCGAAGCCATCGCGAAACAAGCCATCAGGGCGTGGCGGTGGAAAGAAGAAAGACGAGGACCCAGCCCCAAGCTCCATGTAACACACCCACTGTGTAAAACTTGGCTGTTGAGCTCTTGACTCCTGACCAATCAATTGTTCTTGAAAGTTTGACTTTGGAGGAGCTACCCTTTCACCATATGATTGAAGGGACTACTGCATCCAACCAGCTGGAGGAAATGGGTACAGAGTGTATGAACGGCGTCCATACCTTTGAGGCCTTTGAGGGGGGCCTTTGCAGACACCTTTGAGGACACGCTGCAGGACACGCTCAACACCACCACCAAGCAAAATGAGTATGACAAACCCATGGACATGGAGATAGCTGAGACAGCTCTTGATGAGGTTGAACCCGCGGGTGAAGCTGGTGAGGATGGATATCCTGACACTTCAGAGCCTACACCACCAACTGATTCTCCCGGTCGAGAAGGTGACAACGAAGAAAGGGATCTCCTAAGGCCTGAACATCAATAAGATTGTTTTTCATTTGCTTCAACCCGTGGCAAAAAAATAGCGTGTCCAGCGTGTTCCCTCAATCTGAAGGACTTTGGCAAATTTGCGGCGCCGCATGGACCGGAAGGAGAAGTTGGAACGCAGTGATGGGATTAAAAGACCCCGTATCAATTTGGAGCCACTTGGATGATAGCCTACTGATGAGTCTTTTGTTGGCAACTTGCCCAATCACAATCATTCATCGTTGTGACAACGTCTGTGTGCCTTAGTTGTCTAAATTATGTGGAGTCTATATAGTGTGCATAAGGTCGGAGACCAGTTCAGATAATGGAGAAGTCCCGGACAACCAACTTGGTTTGAGCCCTACACCTCCACCAAAGCCAAAGTCAATGCCTGAAGCTTTGGCTTTGAGGAGCCCTAGGCCTGTCCCTGGTCAATGATTGATGCCAAACTCAATCTTGTCAACACATTCAACGTGAACACTTCAGATCCAAGAATCAAGACTTTTGATCAGTGGTCATTGTACGCCGGGCCCGAGGTATTGAGACGTTTGCGTCCTCTCTTCGACAATGTGGCTGACGGCCTGAATGAAGAAGGTGAAGAAGAGCATCGCACGGAGGCGCGCCCACATCATACAAAAAATAATTAAGAACAATCTGTCGTACAATGTTGATGTTCCTACACTCTGTCCTCTGTCCTACACTAGAGCAGACTATATATTTCTGAAAGGGGTGTTTGTCAATGTCAATCAGCCCAGGACCCTACGATTTCAACCAATGAGACTGAGCTTGAGGGTCGCATGGATGATGCATATGATGGAGATGGAGAACGACACAATCGCTCAAAGGACAATACCTAGCTGATGGTTTGCAAACAAACATGGCCTATTCTCGATTCTTTTTAGGGGACTATGACCTGGGACTCTTAGGAATGTATGTTCATGAAGTTGGTGGTTCTTCAAACCTAACAGCAGTTGATCCAGGACTCAGCTGCGATGGAACGCTCCATCACCCACTCAATGCCAGAGGGGTATGGGAACTCCTTGGGGCTGGTGATGAACATTGACTATGTGGAGGGTCATGAGGAACATGACTTTGTTTGCTTCGTGTTCTCCCTCATGGTCATCGCCAAATAGTAAAAAATACATTGTTCTATATGTTGTGAGTGTGCTGTTACAGCATTGTGCTCTCAATGCAACCTCCAACTCTCAGGAACTGATTCCAACTCCTGAATCTGGTGCAGCATCCCCGACGGATATAGGGGCAGGCTTGGACGGGGAGATTGCGGAAGAGGATGCTGAGCGTGATTCAGAATCCAAGATGATTGGCGTTGGGGCCGCCAACAAGTTGATGGAACCAAAGCCCAAGATAAAGGCAAAGGCTAAGGCCAAGCCAGCAGGCAAGCCTTGTGCCAAGAAAGGAGGGGGGGCCAAAGGCATCGCGCAAGGCAAAAGCGTCTCCCAAGAGCAA